TGTAGAGTCGAAGCAAGTTTAGAAGTCAAACTTCCGACAGTATGGACGCATGAAAAGCAGAGATGGGAAGAGTCAGAGAAGACAAGAGAAGAAGAAAGAAGATCAAACAGAGAAAGAGTGAGAAGAGAGAAGATCCAGGTGCACGAAAAGGTAGGAAAGTCGCGAAACACTGTGTTTTTTGAATGATTTGTGGCTCCGGAGGGTCGAAAATTAGGCTCGCTAAAGCGGCGGGTGCGGAGCCATCTGGCCAAATGAGAGATGAAAAAGGGGTGTATAATAATTAGTTTTTGTTTCTTTTTTGCCTCAGGTTTTGGATTTTTTTTTGGCTTTCTTTCCCGGTACCATTTGCCTTGTATTTGCAACAGTTTGGAACTACAACCTGTCGTTTTGCATGGTATTTGCTGCATTTTGGCATGGTCACTTTGCATTTTGCATGGTATTTAGGTATTTGGTACATTTGGCCATGCACGCCTTCCATTTTGCATGGTATTTGTCATATTTTGGCATTTCAACCTCTCATTTGCATGGTATTTGCTACATTTTGGTGCTTCAAACGTTCATGTGGGTCTCTTGAGGGTTCTTTATGCTTTCATTTAGGGTGTCATTTAAGGTTTCATGTAGGGTTTCATGTGGTGTTTTATTTAGGGCTTCATTTGGGGTTTCATTTAGGGGTTCATTTAGGGTTTCTTTAGGGTTCGGGTTTCTTTAGAGTTTCACTTAGGGTTTTTTCCGGTTTCATGTAGGGTCTCTGATCAGGATTTCATATCAGGAGCTCTAAACGTTCAAATGGGTTTCTTTAGGGCTTCTTTAGGGTTTCATTTAGGGTTTATTTGGGGCTTCAGTTTGGGTTTCATTCAGGGTCTCATTTATATTTAAGGTTTCTTTAGGGTTTCATCTAAAGTTTCTTTAGGGCTTCTCTAGGGTTTCATTTAGGGTGTCATTTAGGGCTTCTTTAGGGTTTCATTTAAGGTTTCATTTAAGGTTTCTTCAGGGTTTCATTCCCGGGTTTCTTATCAGGATTTCTTTCCATGATTTCAAAACGTTCAAGTGGGTTCCTTTAGGGTTCCTTTAGGGTTTGGGTTTTTTAGGGTTTCGTTTAGGGTTTTGCTTAGGGTTTCATTTAGGGTTTCTTTAAGGTTTCAGTTTGGGTTTCAGTTTGGGTTTCATTTAGGGTCTCATTTAAGTTTTCTTTAGGGTTTCGTTTAGGGTGTCATTTAGGGTTTCTTTATGGTTTCGTTTAGGGTTTTGCCTAGGGTTTCATTTCCGGTTTCTTTAGGGTTTCAGTTTGGGTTTCATGTAGGGTCTCATTTAAAGTTTCTTTAGGGTTTCATTTAGAGTTTCTTTAGGGTTTCATTTAAAGTTTCAATTTAGGGTTTCATTCAGGAGTTCATTTAAGCTTTCCTTAGGGTTTCATTCCAGGGTTTCTTATCAGGATTTCTTTTCACGGTTTCTAAACGTTCAAGTGGGTTCCTTTAGGGTTCCTTTGGGGTTTCATTGAGGGTGTCATTTAGGGTTTCGTTTAGGGGTTTCGCTTAGGGTTTCAAGTAAGGTTTCATTTAGGGTTTCAGTTTGGGTTTCATTTAGGGTCTCATTTATGGTTTCGTGGGGATTAATTTATGATTTCTTCAGGGTTCATTTACGGTTTCTTTAGGGTTCATTTAGGTTTCAATGTAGGGTGTCTTATCAGGATTTCTTTAGGGTTTCTTTGGGTTTCACCTAGAGTCTCTCTAGGGTTTCATTCAGGATACAAACAGAACAGAATAAAGCAAAAGAACATGAAAAACAAAGAGGCAGCAAAGAAGCAAAGGAGCAAAGGAGCAGAGCAGGAAGTAGAGCAGCAAAAACACATGACTGAAGAAAAGAAAAAGTAGAATAGTAGAAGTAGAAAGGCACAGAAGTACAAAAGCAGAGAAGCAGGGAAAACAGAGAAGCAGAAAAGCAAAGAAGCAGGAAAAGCAAGAAGCAGAAAAGCAGGAAAGCAGGAAAAGCAGAGAAGCAGGGAAAGCAAAAAGCAGAGAAGCAGAAAAGCAGGAAAAGCAGAGAAGCAGGGAAAGCAAAAAGCAGAGAAGCAGAAAAGCAGAGAAGCAGGAAAAGCAGAAAAGCATAGACGCAGAAAAGCAGAGAAGCAGAGAAGCAGAAAATCAGAGAAGCAGGAAAGCATAGAACCAGGAACCCCAAAAAAGTCGAACACCTGCCACGAAAAAAAAACATAGCCCTCCATGAAAAAGTGCAGGCTGTTGTGGCGCGAAGCACATTTGCAAGTGAAAAAGCTAAATGCACCTCCCGTTCAGAGCACTTTTGGAAGTTGAGATGTCGAACAAGTGCACGCCGTTGTGGCGCGAAGCACATCTCCAAGTGAAAATGTGCGAAACACCTCAGCTTGGGAGCGCTTTTAGAAGTTGCGATGTCGAAAAAATGCACGCAGTTGTGGCGCGAAGCACATTTCGATGTCAAAAGTTCAAAAAACTGTGGGGTACGGGGAACTTTTGGACGTTCAGATGTCGTTTTGTGTGGCAGGCGCAGGGGATTGTGCACCTTGTCAAAAGTGAGCAAAACGTGGTGGTCTTGTGGCAGTTTCAAAGACGATGGCGGGCGTGGGACATTTGAAGAAGATCTGGCAAGATGCATTTCGCGTGGCAGGCGCAGTACAAGAGACACATGAGTTAGATAAGTTAGGAGATCAGGGCGGAGATTTCCTGACAGGGGCCGGGCTGCATTTTGGAGCATGAGATCTTCAGGTTTGCTAAGATGATTTTGCGTGACAGGTGCAGCACTTCGTATGACCTGGCTTCACTTTTTCGTGGCAGGCGCAATACGTTAGAGACATGGACTGGAAAAAACGCAAAACGCATTGGTACCAGGCCGTCAGCTCTGCACTCAGCTTTCCACTATTGAAGGAAGTCTTGCAGAATGGTTTCGTTTTTGATGTTGCTAACTTTGAACATAGAGGAAGTCTTGCAGAATTGATTCGCTTTGATGTTACCAAATTCAAGAGTTGACGAATTCGCGACAGACAGATGGATGGATGGATGGATAGAAAGAAAGAAAGAAAGATAGATAGATACTGTAGATAGATCGATAGATAGATAGATAGATAGATAGATACACAGATAGATAGATAGATAGACAGACAGATAGATAGATAGATAGATTAGATAGATTAGATAGATAGATAGTTAGATAGATAGAAAGAAAGAAAGATAGAAAGATAGATACTGTAGATACTGTAGATACTGTAGATAGATAAATCCTGTAGATAGATAGGTACTGTAGATAGATAGATACTGTAGATAGATAGATACCGTAGATAGATAGATACCGTAGATAGATAGATACTGTAGATAGATAGATAGATACTGTAGATAGATAGATACTGTAGATAGATAGATACTGCAGATAGATAGGTACTGTAGATAGATAGATACTGTAGATAGATAGATACTGTAGATAGATAGATAGTGTAGATAGATAGATAGTGTAGATAGACAGATAGATAGATAGATAGATAGATAGATAGAGAGAGAGATAGATAGATAGATAGATGGATAGATAGATAGATAGATAGACTGATAGATAGATAGATAGATAGAGAGAGAGAGAGATAGATAGATAGATGGATAGATAGATAGATAGATAGACTGATAGATAGATAGATAGATAGATAGATAGATAGATAGATAGATAGATAGATAATGATAGATAGATAATGATAGATAGATAGATAGATAGATAGATAGATAGGTAGATAGATAGATAGATAGGTAGATAGATAGATAGATAGATAATGATCGATAGATAGATAGATAGATAGATAGATAGATAGATAGATAGATAGATAGATAGATAGATAGATAGATAGTGTAGATAGATAGATAGATAGATAGAAAGATAGATAGATAGATAGACACATAGATAGATAGATAGATAGATAGATAGATAGATAGATAGATAGATAGATAGATAAAGATAGATAGATAATGATAGATAGATAATGATAGATAGATAATGATAGATAGATAATGATAGATAGATAATGATAGATAGATAATGATAGATAGACAATGATAGAAAGATAATGATAGATAGATAAAGATAGATAGATAGATAATGGTAGATAGATAATGATAGATAGATAATGATAGATAGATAATGATAGATAGATAATGATAGATAGATAATGATGGGTAGATAATGATAGATAGATAATGATAGAAAGATAATGATAGATAGATAATGATAGATAGATAATGATAGATAGATAATGATAGGTAGATAATGATAGATAGATAATGATAGATAGATAATGATAGATAGATAATGATAGATAGATAATGATAGATAGATAATGATAGATAGATAATGATAGATAGACAATGATAGATAGATAATGATAGATAGATAATGATCGATAGATAGATAGATAGATAGATAGATAGATAGATAGATAGATAGATAGATAGATAGATAGATAGATAGATAGATAGATAGATAGATAGATAGTGTAGATAGATAGATAGATAGATAGATAATGATAGATAGATAATGATAGATAGATAATGATAGATAGATAGATAATGGTAGATAGATAATGATAGATAGATAATGATAGATAGATAATGATAGATAGATAATGATAGATAGATAATGATAGATAGATAGATAGATAGATAGGTAGATAGGTAGATAGATAGAGAGAGAGATAGATAGATAGATAGATAGATAGATAGATAGATAGATAGATAGATAGATAGATAGATAGATAGATAGGTCGATAGATAGATAGATGGGAAAAACAACTACAATTACAACTACAACTGCCACTGCAACTACAACTGCACTACTGCTACAAATACAAATATACTACGCTACATTACGCTACACTACTTAATTACACTCCATTACACTTCACTACATTACATTCATTTAAATTACACTACACTAACTACAACTACAACTGCAACTGCAACTACAACTGCACTACGCTACAACTACAGCCACAACTACACTACAGTACACCACACTACACCACACTACACAACACCACACCATGCTACACTAACTACAACTACAGCTACAGCTACAACTAGGCTATTTTGCACTACACGACACTAGACTACACTACACGACCCTACATCGCGTTACACTACGCTCATTGCACTACTACAAATGAAACTGCAACTACACTACACTAATTGCACTACACCGCAACTACAACTCCAACCACAGCTACACTACACCACACTACATCCAGCAGTTGTGGGTGAGGTGACCGACCAGGTGACTGCAACCACTGCAACCACTCCAAAAAACACAACTCCAACCACCTTTCGGTCCATCAGCGGATTCGCTCTGCCATCCGTGATTCACAACAACCAAGCTCTCCTCTAGCTTTCCTATTTTTGAAACTTTCGCCACCGCCTTGTGCGGTACTGCGGGTAATTGAAACTAGGATAACCGAGAATCTCACAGTTCATCATCATATTTCAAACAGTATATTTTCACTAAAACTGTAATTTCAGTGGTAGCCCTCGCTTTCATACACACCCAGGTTTTTCTTTCATCTGTGAATTCTGCTTTCATCCCCATCCTTGCACAGCTTGAGACCTTATTTACGCCAACATCACTTGGTGTCACTTGGTGTCCTGCATACCCTCCAGCACGGACCGCTCTGCTTCCAAAATATCCTGAGGATCCACCTGGCTCGGGCTTTCCGAACTACTTCTCATGCGAAACCGAAAGCACATCGCCATCCAATCGAATGAATCTAAAGTTGAAAGCATCAACACTACTTGCTATTAACACTATCCCTGCTTTCAAGACCCCCGAAGCATCCAGAAACTATGCCATCACCGCTGCTCTCACACCTCGCAACCCGCCAGCGGACGGATCTCGTTCCCGCACTGCTCCAGTTGCACCTGGTAGGCGTGGTAGCGTGCAGGCATCAGGTAAGTTCGTTGCCTAAACCCTTAGAGAAGCAATGAAATGAGCGGTTCGAAATGGTTCAAGCACAAATGACTGACCTACTGAACAAACCCTTGCAGAGTGCAGCAATGCATCCCCGAAATTTAGTGCATCGCTCCTTCCCTATGTGCACAGCCACCTCCATGACGATGGCGGCCAAGCCGGGCATTTCAGCATTGGCAGGAACCGTTGCTCCACCCATCAAGAGTTCCTGGAGCTATGAGTACATCGGTCAAATCGGTGAAAATCCATGCAAAATCAAACATATCAAACATCCGTTTTGTCAAAGGCTGTCAAAGAACGAAACAACAAAGTACCGTTGCAAGCCTCAAACGGTCTCAGGGTTCTGGCACCCTCCCCACTTCTCAGTACTTGATGGCTGCAACCTTGTAAGCACTTCTTACACCTACACAAGAAGCAAGAAAATGCAGGAGGCCGTTTTAGGCAAGCCGCTCTTCCACCAACAGCTTTCATTCACCAAGTACCGTTTGCACGCAGCGGATTGCTCATCTGGAACTTGACAAACAGACCCTTTACACACCAACATCCTTTCGCAATTTGCAGCCCGGAGCTCAACAGCTGCACAAAGCTACCTAAACACGCAAAGCATACTTAAACCAACTTAAACCGCATGCGCTTTGCAAGTGCAAGAGTTCCCGAGAATCCCAGAGTCCCGCGGCTAGTGGAACTTACCAAAGGCGGTGAATTGATCAAGCTTGATCCAAGCTTCCATTCACATGAGGGAAAGAGACCGGCACTTTGGCTCAATAAAATGAGATAGGTAATGATAATATCTGTCAATACCCGTCAAACAGTGTCAATTCGAGCATCTTTGATCTAAACGCAAAGACTCAATTTCACGCTTTGGGTGTTACTCTGTCAAGCGGACCAGAGGTGACCAGAGACTGTCCTTGACGGCGGCGTGGAACTTGTTCTTGATGGCCAAAGATATCGGAAGCGCACCATCGCCTCCAAAGTGCTGGGAAAACTGTGCCTATCCGTGCCTAGTGTCTCACAGACTGCGACCAGGAAAATCTGAACTTGCAAAAGATGGCAATGCAGGCAATACAGGCCATGCGTGCATTTGCAAAGTACCATCCTTGGTGCCCCACCTTCATTTAATCAATTTTGACAATAAAACGGAAACGCCAAGGAACTGTCTGGCTTCGTGACATCCGCTTTCATGGACACCATGAGCTTGATCGTTTTGGGAAGGTCATTTCCTAAGTTGTGCTGCGCAGCACCAAGCCAACCCTCTCCTCTCCCAGAAGCTGCTAGACACGCCAGGACCGGTGTTTGACAAAACTTGACAATCCTCCATATCACCAACAGTTTTGACACTGCGGTGGATGTCTGTTGTTTGGTTTCTACAAGGCTTCAAAGGAGGCTCACGGTCTGGATTGCGTGACATGCCAACGCGAAGGCAGAAACCAAGAATCTCTTTGGCATACCGCAAGGAACATTTTAGTTCCACTATTTCCACTGGCTTCCCGCTGCTCCGTCTGAATTGTCGCAATTCCACAGAATGAAGACCTATTCATGGTCTTACGCTTGTTTTTACTGGAACTGCGACACTCGGACTTGATGCGAGAATTCGTTCTAGCAGTGCAATTATCATGAGATTCGGCTGTCAAAAGGCTAGATCGGAAGTCGCACGAGTCAATACAAAATCATTGACACTTGGGGAAGATTGCAACAGTGGCGCATAGCAGAAGAGAGTACTTATTGATCCTATTGCAATTACTATCATCTACTATCCAACTACATCCAACACTATCTCCATTCTTTTTTTCAAATACTCCAGGAACCTTTTCCCCTTGAACCAAACTTTATTGGGCCCAGCGACTGGCGCAAGTGTGGATGAGCCGCCGTCCTTCTCGATCAGAACCTCGGCACTAAAGGGGTGAATATGGTGTGAAGCATGGGGAAACCGCAACTCTTCAAGGCTTACAACATTCGCCTACGTTCCGCTTGCCCCTTGTTTACATACCAGGCTGTTTGGAACAGGCTGCTTGGAACACCTAAATATATTCTCATGGGATTTGAGAAACTCAAAGTGAGAATTGAATCCGTGGGTTCAAAACCATTTCACCGCGTTGAGAAGCTTGGATCAACATATAAAGTGTGAGGCCCGTAAATCTGTACGAATGTACAAGAATTGTACAAGACCGCACGAGAAACATCTCAGCATTCGTCTCAATTGTCGTCAACTTTCTCAACCCTCAACCCTCGGGAAACTCAGCAGGTGGCAGGTCAGTGGCACACCACCTTCCAGAAAAACCTTCACCGCCTCCTCCTCGGAGCTGGGCCATATGGGGATGACATCATAATATCATCAGCGTCTGCAGCATATCTGTCTATCCGTGTCTTGTCCATTTATCTTTTTGTCTCCCTGTCGATCTGTTCATCTGTCTATCTGTCTGCTTGCCTGCCGCGGAGACTCCAGCACTTGGATTTCATGGAACAGTTTTTTTTTAAAAGTATTTTTCTTTGTATTTCGGATTACTCCGGAACCCATTCTCCATTTCAGGAATCAATTTTTAGATATTTTAGGCTTCCATTTCGGGAACGAATTTTTAGACATTTTAGGCATCCATTTCGGGAACATAAACCGTGTTAACATGGGCAGCACAGGGTCTGGAATACACAAAATCATCCTGTAGCTAGGGTCTTTTGTACTTTCAGACCCTCAGTGCTTGAGGGGATCATCTATCCATCTATCCATCTATCTGTCTATCTTTTTCTTTCTTTCTTGTCTAGCTAGCTATCTGTCTATCCGTGTATCTTGTCCATTTATCTTTTTGTTTCCCAGTGTATCAATTTGTCATCTGTCTATCTGCCACTCTGCCTCATTATCTGTATCTATCTGTTTGTCTGCCGCGGAAACTCCAGTACTTGTAGTTTTTTTAAAAGTATTTTTCTTTGTGCCCCGGACCCCGAAAATACCCACCTACCTAGCTACCTAGCTAGCTAATCTATCTAATCTCTCTAATCTATCTAAGCTATCTAATCCATCTAATCTCTCTAATCTATCTAATCGATCTAATCTATCTAATCTCTCTGATCTCTCTAATCTATCTAATCTATCTAATCTATCTAACCTATCTAATCTATCTAATCTATCTCATCCATCTATTCTCTCCAACCTCTCTAATCTATCTAATCCATCAAATCTATCTAATCTATCTAATCTCTCTAATCTCTCTGATCTCTCTAATCTATCTAATCGATCTAATCCATCTAATCTCTCTAATCTATCTAATTTATTTAATGCATCTAATCTATCAAATCCATCTAATCTCTCTGATCTATCTAATCTATCTACTCTATGTAATCTATCTAATCTCTCTAACCTATCTAATCTCTCTAATCTATCTAATTTATTTAATGTATCGAATCTATGAAATCCATCTAACCTCTCTAATCTATCTAATCTCTCTAATCTATCTAACCTATCTACCCTATCTAACCTATCTAACCTATCTAACCAAACTAATCTATCTAATCTTTCTAATCTATCTGATCTATCTATCTACAGTATCTATCTATCTATCTACCTATCTATCTATCTATCTACAGAATCTACAGAAACTACAGAATCTACAGAATCTATCTATCTATCTATCTGTCTATCTATCTATCTATCTATCTCTCTATCTCTCTATCTATCTATCTATCTATCTATCTATCTACAGTACGGTATCTATCTATCTACAGTATCTATCTATCTACAGTATCTATCTATCTACAGTATCTATCTATCTACAGTATCTATCTATCTACAGTATCTATCTATCTACAGTATCTATCTATCTACAGTATCTATCTATCTACAGTATCTATCTATCTACAGTATCTATCTATCTACAGTATCTATCTATCTATCTACAGTATCTATCTATCTACAGTATCTACCTATCTACAGTATCTATCTATCTACAGTATCTATCTATCTACAGTATCTATCTATCTACAGTATCTATCTATCTACAGTATCTATCTATCTACAGTATCTATCTATCTACAGTATCTATCTATC